ACCAAAGAAAATGCACTGAAACAAGGCGTCCTTAACACGATTTCAAATTTCTGCACTTTAAAGTTTGGTCAGAAAAACGAAATGATTGAAATTTTAAGGCATATTTATCAAAACGTTTTCTTCCTGAACGAGTCACTTTCATTTAGGCACATCAGGCACAGTGACGTCCATATTTGAAAGATTCACACGCAAAAATACACCTACTCGTGTTGACAGCTCAAGTTCATTCAATCCGAATGCAACACTTTGAAAAAACTTCGATGAAAATAATCAGTTGTAGTCACCCCGCTTCCTCTTTTTGCGTAAAACCCATAATCACAGTGTTTGTTGATAAACAAGACGATAAAAATGCAGTTTCTGAGTTTCATTTTACAATTGTCATTTGTATAGTTCTAAATTCTTGTCAGAGCAAGCCTACATCGTCTTCATCATCACGAGTACAAGTGCCACTAAGCCCAGCCAAGGTGGTGACAGGCGCACCCCTTTACTGCTGGCACGAGCTCCCTCGCACTTCTCGTCGAAGTTTTCATAATTACAGCTATCAGTGCAACAACATTCACAAGAACCGCTTGCATATTTACATTCATCCTTGACACATGTCGTGCTTTGTTCTTTTGGGGCGCAACTCAACTTGATTTGGGTGACTTCGTCGCCTGCATAGGTTGCCAACACCTATAAAAAGGACACACGCGACATTACATTTCTAGTTTAAGGGACCGTTCACATGAAAATTCTATTTTCTAAAAATTTAAAAGTCTATTTGCGGTATCTTGTGATCACGGTCTGTGCCCTGAATACCCCGCGGCGTAATTACTGGCAGCGCCGAGAATTAATTACAGCTTTGGAAGTAACTGGCTCGCGCTGCCCGTAATTACACCGTGGGGTATTCAGGGCACAGACCGTGATCACAAGATACCGCAAATAGATTTTTAGAAAATAGATTTTTCATATGAACGCAGCCTAAGTTTAGAAATTGAATGGCGCCAAAACAGATTGCGCCATTAAGCCGTAAAATACTTTTCACAGAATTCACTTCTTAAATTAGCCACATTTGGCATATCTTTTTACATTTCTTAAAAATTTAGTGTATCTTTACTGATGAGATGTTTTTAATTTTGGTCGGTCATCTCTTGCCATTTTTCGACTTCACAAGACACAGTCAGTAAAATTAATATGCATAAAGCAACTGGCACATTTTCCATGCTAAATAGTGCTGCTCACTTATACTCACCCAACAAGTGGAGGACTGACAAGAGCCAGAGATATTCTTTGTCCCACTCCAACCTGTTGTTGTTCCTTCTGAACAATTGACCTTTAAGAAAGAACAATAGAGAAAACCTAACTTTCAATACACACCGATAGTAAATAAATAAATCAATAAATAAATGAATAAATAAATAAAATGGTAAAATTTATAAGTTAATCAACATAATGTTGGCCATCTAGCCGAGGAAGCGTATGTTGGTCACCAACAGAAGAGAAAAAATAATTATATTTCGGAAGCCTAAGAAGAAATATTCCTGGAATATGTCACGACATAATTGATATATGTAGAAAACTGATTTTGATATTATCTAGAAGGACAGGAGTGAATCGCCTAATTCCAAAATTTCGTTTTTATCTACTGAGGGAAACATGTTATGGACGAAAAGGCACCAACACCCGCGCTTCCAGGTGTTCACAGACCTTACATTATTGACTGCTTACCTGGCTAGCCGGTGTTGTGGCACCTGAGCCAGGTGAGATACTGGAAGCACTAGAACTCGCCGTCCCTGTACCAGTAGCAGTGTTTGGTACAGCAGACGTTACTCCGCCAGAGGAAACGCTGCCGCTGCCGCCGCCGCCGCCGCCGCCAGAGGTCGGTGTTACAGGAGCAAGAGGAGTAGTTGATGGTGCAGACGATGCTGTAAGAAATCACAACACGGGATAGTGAGGCATAGCAGAGTCAGAGTGTCAGGAGCCAAGCTGTGTACTCCATATTTCTTGCAACATAAAGACAATTCTTATTATGAAAAATAATTCCCCATGCGTAAAATATGGACAGTCAACATATACGATGTAAAAATTGACATAAATTATACCAATTATTTTTCTTAGGTGTAGGGCAACATGGTGCGTTTTCAGACCGTGATGGTTTGGACTAAATGACTATTTTAAAATACGGCCAGCATTGGGTAAAGTGATTTTTGATATTAAAATCTTTGTTGGGAAAAAAATCATTGTATTTCTAATGAACAAAAAACAAATAAATAAATAAAAAGCCAAAGCTTGAAAGAACCGCATCTCCTTTGCAACTCAAAAGTTTATGTTTATTACGTTTTTATCCTACCTGCCGTTACAGATGCGTCTATTGTAGTACTATTTCCGAGCACGCTGCAACAGGCTACAACTGAAAATATGAAAGACAAACATATCATAGGAAAATTAAATGGTGTCTTATTATTCCTTCAACACACACGCTGAACAAAAATATCATTTTCACAAGTTTTAAGGGATGTCAAAATATTCTCTTAATATACGCATGTACAACTGTATAAAAATATCCCTTTTCATAACCGCTGAATATTCAAATATTTAATTATGCAATTACAATGTAAGATAGACATTTTATATATGTTATTAAAGCAACAAGATCATAAGACGATGGCATGAACATACATAAACAAATCCAAAATAATATGTTGGAATATTGCTGTGCCATGGTAAAGCTGGGTTGCCTTGGTTTCACTTGTCCGGGTGTCACTTGTCAGGGTGTCTCCTCTTTGTATTTCTATACCTGAATCAAACATTAATCCAAATTAACTACAGATTAATGAAAACAATAAGTCAAAGTATGAAAAAAAATTAAAAAGCATCATGACAACCAGGTAAAAAGGTGTTTTATACAATTGGTTTATGTGTCATGTAGATTAAGCATATAAGGTTCTGATTCGCCCTCATGTAATATTCATTGCTGTAACTAAGTGACATTCAATTGTTTACAAACATTTGCAATTTGAGCATATAAATTAATGCAAACTGTGAACGAAATTTTGGACACGAAAATATTGTTATCCATCTGCAATCAAGCCCGTCCCAATCTTGTACTTTAAATCACGATTTGAGGGGTCTTATCTAGTAAGTCAAGTGCGTCATAACATTAATCTATATGCAATGACACCAAATCTATCACAAGAAATTTAATCAAATCCTTGGTAGAAACAAAGTGTGTCTACACAATTGTAACAAAACAAGGAGTTCCTTTATGATAGATTTCTCCGAAACTGAGCGTCCTGGAATACCGCCTTATTGCCAAACGGTGAAATTGAAAGGTCGATTACGGCGAATTCCCGTCACTGATCTGTTAAATCTGAATGGCGTTTCCTGTACGGGCCTAGCCCTTATTTTTTCTTACCAAGCGAGAGAAGGTACATGAAACAAGGTGTTACATATCAAGTGGCTATGGTTTGAAAGAATATTTTAATCAGAATGATGCCTCTTGGTATAGTGCCCACACACATACAATGTATAATTAAAGGTAGTACTAGAAGAAGTAAACAGCTTAAAGGTCTGACACAGTTTTTTTATTAACAACACTGCCAAGACTGTGTAGAAGTTTCTCTTTAAACATTGACAGATAAGACAAAGATTGGGTCAAAAATACCCCCATAAAAAGACCTTTCCTTCAGCTAACATTTGCAATTGCCAAAAATATAAGAAGGTAAGTTGTTATTGTATTAATCGGTATATGAATTTATCTCGATATTTACAGCTAAAAAAGAGACACTAATCATCTTCAGAATTAGCAAACATGTTTGTGTATTTTTGGAAATCAGAAATGAAGCCGTGGATGCACTACAAGTGTAAATATTTTGAAGATAGTAACAGATCTACTAAATAAAAAGCTTCAATGGTGTATTTGTCTTCCTTCTAACGTCTTTTTTCTATTTTTTATTTTACCCGTGTCAGGTACAGGATTGAAAATTTGCAAGAATAAATGCGCGTTAATTTTTTCAGCGTAAACACGAAAAAACAATCCCTGTAACCAGGTTCATTTTTTAAAGAATTTTTTTTTTAATGGACACTTAAAATCTATTTAGTAACTAGCAAAACAAGAAGATACTCACCAACTGCGTTCTTCTCCCCACTCACTGCTAGATTGAACTGAATAGTATGTGTATCAGTCAACTCTGGCATCACGTCCCTTTTTATCATTGTTTCAATGACAACACCACAACATCTCGACAAAACAACCTTATCAGCTTAGCGACCAGCCGGCTACCAACCGATCGTTCTCAGTTTGTAATGTCGAACAGGGTCGTCTGCCAGGAAGAAGAGGCACGTGTTTTCCCACCGTTGACATGGTAGCACGTGAACTAAAGGAGATACATTGCACCTCCCAGTGATAATTTAATTGAGAATATAAAGCGTTTGAAGGGCCTCTTTTGACACCTTGTAGAGGTCGCAACCCTACCTTATAAATTTTTCTTAATATATATTTTAATTTCTTATCGCCGTTAGTCCGTTGCTAGCTTGAGGCAGACGGTTGACATAGCCCATCCGGAATTTGCATTAAATTTATAAAAGGATAACTCTCTAGATTGTATGTCCGGACCACTCCTGGCATCCCGGGATGGGGGGAACTTGTTTCAAATTATCTAAGCATTTAGCAAACAGCTTTTCTTTTAAATAATATAAGATTTTAACTTAAGCAGAATTGATACGGAACTAATCAGTATTAGTATTAATTTTCTCCTCAATGATATGATGATATACATTACAATGCGAGAACATACACTTACATGTTAGAAATGTTGTCAGAAGAATATTCTGTTATTTATTATACCTAATACCTATTCAAATATTAGACTGGCAGTTGTTTCTTTTTTGTTTTTTTTTCGTTCAGTTAAGTTTTTCTCCTTAGCGAGGGTGAGACTAATCAAATGTGTCTGATGTTTTAGGCAAGCGCATTGTCTGAAACAATGGCTTCGTCAGTAGCTAAGTTCACAGCATAGAGTGTGCGCAGGCCTATAGATTAGACTGGCTAAGTTACAATTTCCATTACCATATTGAACAGCTCCGTGCTGCAGAAATAGAAAATCACATTACGATTTTAGATCCGATATAACCCCAAAGTTGCGGGTTAGACGGCCCCATTGTTTTAGCTTATTCCGTATACCCCTATCATGTATTATCCGTCATGTAATTTACGGAGCTGTTAATTAAAATACAACAAGTTTTAACGGCGCTGTGTACATACTTGATAACCCAAAGTCATGATAACGCACGTCTATTTTAGGCTGTATTGCCTGATAAATAGCTGATATGCACTTTACGACACCTTTATTCCACGTGGAGAACAAATATACTTTAAAAAATCTTTATTTGCTATAGTCATCTCGGAGATTTTCAATTGTTTCCTCTTTCTCCTTATCGCTGTCGTCATCATTGTGGTTCAAAGTCTAGGGAAGAAAAGAAAAAATATATAGCAACGGAGATATCTTCTCCTGAATTGCAGACTATATTTCATTTGGACGAATCAAAAAAAAAAAGAAATTATTCATTCATTTCAAAAACTGCACTCAAGACCAAATCTGCCACAGAGACTGCTTTTAAGGATTTTCAAAATGGCCGCCAGATTCTTCTATGGAAACTGTCCAATAATTTGCTAAATGGTTAACCTCGTACTTACCCTTAGTGGGGCATTTTCTACAGCAAAATCTTTTTCGTCCTCTCCAAAACAAGATATCTGAGCAATTGCCGGGAGGATATATTTTCTATCTATCTCTTTAGGTGGCGTATATCCTGGAAATGCAGAAAATGAAAAAAAAATAGAACAAGATTATCACACGCGGTCAATGAACATGCAAGTAAGTAACATCCGTTTTAATACTAGTTTTTCAGAGTTCTTCAGTAAAAAGTGTATGTCTAGGTAAAAAAAATGCACTGTCAACAAAGAAGATTCTTTGCGAGGAATTTTGCAGGTCACAATGCCAGAGGACCACTGCGGTAGAATCTCTGGAGAGGTCAACATAGTCTACTTCTGCAATAGGTGACGAACCATCTGTACCTCCAGTCAACTGTCTTTTGTAATGAACGTATTTCCATATTAGCCATAAGAATTTTGCTATGCATGTGCATGCCAGAGAGAAAATAAACGCTTGTAGCGTCTCACCTGTCGCAAAACTGACGATGACTCCGACAAAGACCGTAATTATCAGCCCTAGCCATGTGTACCACCAGTATGATATGCTGTAAATCTTCTCCAACGCGGACCTGCAACAGAACGAAAGGGTAACATAAACCTTAGTGCTTGCTGGCTGACTTGATAAGATCGGTAAACTCAGTTGTTTGGATTTTAAAAATTTAAGGAAAAATGTGGTGATGTAAACACCTAAAAAACATGTTATTAGCAAAATAATATCAAAATAATCAAAATACCCTTGGTGAAAGGCATGCATTGTAATATTGGGATCAATATCTTCTCGATACGCCACTGTAGAGATTGTCTCATACAAGGTTTCATTAAATCTGGACGCATTAAGGAGGGAAAGCTGTACGCCAGTAATGACAGGTGTTGTGAAGTTAGTGGCTATGGTGGCATTCTCGGTGTCACACCCAGATGTGTTAGTTGGGAGGAAGTGATTGTGTCGTGTCACTGTGAATGACCCAAAGGCCACCCACAGAGCGATAATAACACCTGCTATCGCGCCACCAACAACTCCCTGAAATAGAATGGGATATCATGTTGTACTGTGTCAGTTTAAAATATTCGCACTATTGTAAAATTAGATTTTTTGTGAGACTGTATTTGACAAGAAATTATGCTTACTGTGATACTCATTTGTAGTCTAGTTATTTACACTGAGAGAGAGAGAGAGAGAGAGAGAAAGAGAGAATTACTTTCCAATTGCTCCATGGAATACAACAACCCAGCAAAAACATTCCCAAGAAAGGCCCATACAATGCACCACTAAACGCAATGGTGAGCTACCGGTAAATAAAATATTCACAAGTGCAATTATAAACCTGGGAAAATATGCTTCAATTTCTTTTTTTTTTTCTTTGGCTCTATCCTACCATGGCAAATTAAATGATTTGTTCAAATAATAAAAAAATTAATCACAAATCTCTTAACCTAAATCCTAACGACACTTTTTGGCAATTAAACATATGAAACATATTAAAAAAGCACGCTGCAATGTTGAATGGAAATGAGTAAAAACATAAGGATGCATCATCCAATCGGATATAATTATTATTCCTTATTACTACTTTTTATTACTTTTTACCTGTATCACAGTTGTACCCTTTACCACTCCAATCATGAAAGCCAAACCCGCCGATATTATCCCATAAAATATTACTGAAAAACACAAAAATGATCGTGCAGTGAAGAAATAGATTCAGCAAATTTCCAATGTTTCCAAAGTAGGTTCCTATGAGCCGCTTTATCATATCGTCCAAAGTCAAAATTGCTTTGCAGCCATAACATAGTTTCATTTGGGTCAATCTAGACAGGTAGCAGTTGGAGAATGAGAGCGAGGACTGTCGGTGCGTAAAGTAAGCCAATAAAGCAAAATCTGCGATCTGTAGGCATAAGCATGTCAACAAAAACAACACGAAACAAAACCAGATTAAATAGCTAACCCGCCATATTTTTGCCGCTTGTAAGTCTAAAGTTTACTAGTTTCTCTGAAAAGCACATTTCCTCTTTGCTAAATCTGTATCACAAACCCTTGTAGCACTTTGAAGCACTTTGTCAAATGATTTCTCCGTGAAATAGAGCTGTATTGATGTGTTTCACCCCCCCTTCCCCCGACACTCACCCAAACATTGACAGACTACCACCTTTCTTCGCTCACTAATATGACCATATTTGGCCTTGAGGAGATCTTCCCACGTCACGGCAGCTAGCGCCACCTGAACGGCGGAGGTGGAGCTTATGAAACGAAAGTGAAAGACGTAACTTACTACGCTCCAATCAGTTATAAAATAATGTTAACAATGCATAAATAAGCAAATAAAATAAAGTCCAATAAATGATTAACAATTTAAAATAATAATTATTAACGAACTGGATAGATTAAGGGACAATTCCCTCAGATATCTGGATCGATCCATCATCCTGAAGAGTCTCACTTAATTGCTATCAGCTTAACCGGCTTAAATGTATGTCACGCCTAGTAAAGCTGTTAGGGGGTAAGTATCTTTACCCCCAAGCTGATTAGGTAGGCGTGACAGATATTTAAGCAGGTTAGTTGATAGCTATTTAGTGAGACTCCCCAGGGAGTTAGACAGATCCAGATGGATCGATCTAGGCATGGGAACACAGTCTAGGTCTGCTTTGCACCGGAAATAAGTCAACAACCGGCTTAAACGCAACGAATTATCTTAGTTACCCAGACCTGACCACTGTCGGTACAGCACTCGGGCAACACTCTGACAAGATTTCTACTGTAATTCGAACGGTCTAACCAATATTAATAGTGCCGCCTGTTTTTGCTCTTTTCTTATTTAAATCGCGTACCGCTACATACTCTTTTACTAATAATATCATAATTTCAGGCACAGTTTCAAGCATTTTAAAAAGAAAAAGAGAACCGGAGGCGTACATGAAAACTCAAGTAACTTCCGCTGAAGCAGGTACTCTCAATTTTAGAGCGTGACAGGCCATTCACATGTCACACCAACAGTGAACTATTTCCAAGTTGGTTAATACATGTACAAGAAATATATAACTATGGAGTACATGTGAGCAACCTTTTATAGAGCAGCAGCATACCTGAGAGTTCCGCTAAACAGACTGGCTAGATATATACCAGGAACCCCAGGGTAATACAATGTGTCCATCAAGTAGTAAGGAACTATCTAATAAAGGAAAAGTAAAATATACAAACTGAAAACAAATGACGATTAATATGTTAATGCAACGTTTATGAGATCAAATGCAGAATAATTGCCGTGCTTCCTCCAAGTAAAAGTTGTTGTGTAGAAAAAATATCATATAGGAGTAGCTGCATAATGAGATACCAATTTTACCTGGTTGATGTTTTTCAAGTAATTTGCACGAAGGGGATCACACTGCTTGGAAGAATAGTAAGCAAAAATGACGAGACCCGTCAATGAAACAAGTGAGATATAAACCACCCATATCAGTAGACTACCGAACACGACCCTGAAAGTACAAGGTGAAGGAATTTAAAGAAATAAAGATAAAATCACTTAAAATTCATAGGTAATGATGAAAAACCTTGATTGCTTCAAGTATATGCCATTTAATCTACTGGTGATCTACTAATGCTGAGATTCTTACTGCCAATTTATAACTGATATAGTTGAGAAACAGAATCTTATATGATGCTGGTTAAGTTTTTTGAAAATCATTTTACATTACAGTCATAAAGCCATTGTATCAAGACACTTCTAGTATGACGTCACTAGAGTCTAACCAATCAGAATTTTTTAATTTTTTTAAAAAATAAAAAAATCTCAAGGTCAATTTCATTCTCTTTTTCATTAACAGCATTAATTTTGTAAATAAACTTATTAAGCATTTTATGTTTCTTTGCTGCCTTAAAACTGTACGTTACAGGCGCGCCTTGGTAAGGGTAGGTACCGCCTTGTACCGCTGGACGGAGGCAGGGTTTACGGCGGAAAACACCAGAATCTGGGGGGCGGAACCCAGGACCAGAGACCAGAATGAATGACGGACTCGAAGATCGAAATCAAAGCTGAAATGTCACAATGCTTATAATTGTTTTCATTTAGTCTCGTACTCCTTTACATGGAACAAATTTTATCTACTGTTTACATTACAAATGTTAATTTAAAAGATAACATTGATGAAAACTTTTCTTCTAAATTTGCTTCTATTTGAAATCTACACATAGTTTTATAGCCATTTCATATGTCAAATATACTTTTTGTCAGTCAGTTTCAACATTAGTGTCGAGTAGAAATGGGAAGATTTCACCGTAGCTGATATCTTTTTAAATAAACGCTGGTGTTGTAAGTCCAGTGAGAGAGTGAAAGGTCAAAAACTCGTTCATTACTGTATTTGCTCCAATCTTCCTCCAGCCCTGCTTATATCAAACACCTTATCCATTCCTCCAACTTCAACTGTTCCCTAAGAAAACAGTGAAATAAAAGCTGAATGAAGTTTTTGTGTATCTTTAATATGTTATTAAGAATTCAATGAAAGAGGTTACATGTACTTATTTAACATGAACGGATACCACTTGAAAACTACATAATTGGAAAAAGACAATTTCTTCAAATACATAGCAATTATAATCAAATACATTTGTTGTAAAAAAATAAGTTGTTCTGTTAAAATAAAATATTCATATATAATTAAAGATGCTGCTGCTCATAAAACACAAACTGCTCCTTCACTATTTTGGCCAACAGACTCATATTTCACACTGAAGGTAGTCCGTGACTATTTTTCGAAACAAATATATGGTCCCATTCAAAATAGGGGAATAACTAGTCCGAGGGTCAAATATGGTCGCCCACTTGAATACTTCCCCACGGGATATCTATTCAGTGTCTATTAGCGGATTAGACGGCGAGCTTTGTAGTATGTCGCCATATTTGACCCTCGGACTAGTTAGTCCCCTATTCTGAATGGGGCCTATGAAAGCTTACCTGTATAATTAGTGCCAAGAACCCGCTGACAATCACCACCATTTGTACGGCGTCTGTTAAAACGACCGCACGAAGTCCGCCCTGGAACGAGTTTTGACCCATGTAAACACACCGAGAGATATTATTAGACCGTGGCTATATTGGCGTGGCGTTTTCGGTGTAGTGCGAGCACTTTCTTTTTGTATGTCAAAGGTAGCATTCGCATAGAGAAGAGCCGAGGTCTAGTAAGGCCGCGCCTAAATATGGCGGATTTACATGAAAGGAAGACCGCTAATCCTGTTCATCTTCACCACGCGTCGTCCCTGCAGGAGCACAGTAATTAAATCTCAGCTCAATTCAACCGGTCGAGGGACAACGCATGGGGAGGCGTGTGAGAGGCGGAGAGACCATTTAAAGATTAGCGGTCTTCCTTTCATGTAGGTCCGCCATATTTAGGTCGCGGCCTTACTAAACCTTGGCTCTTCTCGATTTGAATGCGCCCATAGAGACCATTCCCAGACCCTATCGTACTAACTTCCTACTAACTCCGAGGGCATTAAACATTTTATGTTGTTTTGCTGCATTTAAACTTGATTTGCAATTTACTTCGGCGGCTTAGATGTCTGTCACGCCTCCTGAGGCTGATAGGGGGTAATAACTATCGTTTAGCAGCTTTAGAGGGTGTCCCAGACTTCTAAGCCACTTGGCAATTTAGCGACGGACCCCGTGGAGATGGACCGATCCCGTTAGATCGATCTAGGAATGGGAACCCAGTCAAACAATACACCGCCCCACGCTATATGTCTTGAACACCCGTCTCCCCGACGCATGTGGGCTTCTCAATTCAATTTCAATTTCAATTTATTAAACCTTTAAGCCCTACGGCTCATCAGAATATCACATTGCATCATTTCACACAAAATAATGTACTTCGAATAATCCATAGAAATCCTAAATGTGCTACATATTAATTGGAAAAGTCAATGCACGGAGAAAAAACAAAATAAGGGTAAATAACAATATTTCATGTATGTAGATATAGCTTTTATATAAATCTAAACATATCTTACAAAAAAGGAAAACACGAAACATGGATGCACCTGTATTTATTATGGTGAAACATTTACGCTAAATTGTCTTTAAATGCACATATCTTATTAAGAGTAGGACAAAGTATGTCAACACTTTAAACATAATCTCCAGTAAAGAAACAAGTAGTCTGTAAGATGAATTTCTTACCAAAGCCGTGTAGATAGTGGACACCACCAAGACACATAGAATGGACAACCAAACGGGAAACCCAGTCACTAAAATACGAAATTTTACAACAAATATTAAATGGTGTTCGAATTTAGGGAAGAGAAGTTTGTTTTTTAGCTATTGACTGCCATACATTGGATATTTTTGATGTATATGGTGTTGTGTCGGGATTTGCTGCCAAATATACTCAGTGGCGCGATTAATGAGAAAGTGAAAGTGAAATTGTAGAGGTTGGCCATTATCGACCTTTAAAGTTCTATTTTTGGAGATTGTTCAATAACCGTACTTTTATGCATTGCGGGTGTTAGCAAAAAAAAAAATTAATTAATTAATTAATTGATTAATTTAATATATATATATATATTACATGGACCAATGTTAAATTTATTGTTAATTATTTGCTAAACGTAACCTCGTGAAGACGTTAAAAAAAAAAAAACAACAACCGAACCTCTGTATCGGCCGTGAAAGACGAGGGTGACACGTACAAGGAGGTAGTATGTTGTTTCTTGTATTTATTCGAGATCCCCCATGCCGACAGCATCACTTACCTGCCTCCAATGCAACTGAAGGTGAATACATCACTACTGCTAGGTAGAATAGCTATTAAAAAACACAAATTCAATATGATTGTTGTCGTTATCAAAGATTAAAGCTAACGTTCAAAGATTAAAGCTAACGTTTGAACGTAAGCTTTAATCTTTGATTGTTGTTGTTATCAAAGATTAACTTTAACGTTTGAATGTTATTTTAATATCGCTGATACTAAATACGACCTTCACCCTAGGGAATTACCAACTGTGTTGTCATAAAATTTTGATAAGTGAAATCAAAATACTTACCGACTGAATGATGATCAATATCGTTGCCGTTAACTTGGCTGCTTTTGACTTGAACCGGAGCTCCAAATACTACAAATTATTTGGAAAAAAACGTCAAACAAGTGAATATTTTATATATCGTATTGAATACACAATATATAATTAATTAAAATTTATTTTAAGAATAATTACATGTATAATTCTTATTATTGTTGGAAGAAAGAGGAATGATACATGTTATAAGCCTCCATTGCAATAAATAATAACAACAACAATAATAATAATCAATTCAAACTCGCCTCCAGTGAGCTTGTTAACTTCAAATCATAAAACAGAGGAACGAACTGCCAGCCGGCTATAAGCAGCGCTACGGCAACCCCGGCTATCACGTAGATATACTCTATACCACCCATGTAAACCTCAGCCGGCATCCCCAGCATGGACGTAGCTGAGGCCAAGGACAGGACCATTGCTATGGCAACGGGGAGCACGTGGAGCTCTTGGTTACCAAGGAGATAATCTCGGTTCGATGTTCCTTGCCGCTTGGCTCGAATGGCGTAAAAAACCCCTATGCCAGCGGATACTGCCATAAATAAGGCGAAGAGCACGAAATCGAAGGCTTGCAAGTACCTGACTTCCGAAGTTTCCTGAAGAAAAATCAGATATTCTGATGACAATATTAAAGCTTGTCTAGAAACTATGAAGTCAATTTTCTTCATAATTGCATCTTTGTTGGAATTCATTAAATGCTGGCAAGTCAACAATAAAATATGAAGCTCAGTTTAAATAACGTATACATTTTGTGTTGAAATATGGACATTCATCAACGTGGAACTTTGGACCCTTTCAAATTTTTTTGTAATCTTCATTGGTCCAACAACTATTTGAATGTATGGAGTAAATAAGATAACAATTTGCTTTGCTTCTATTACGAGAGGAAATAAGTTTTATATATATTATTCTCAAAATAAGCATAACCTGGATGTAGACCCGCTTTTCTTCTTTGCACGCGCACGTGTACACGAAGAGCCACTATTCAACGCATATTCAGCGGATTCATTATTCAGCAGTTTGTTTTTATTTAAAATTTTTCTTTTTTACTATGTGTATTTGCTGTATAAAATACTTTCCAAAAAGTAAATGCGGGTTGTTCTTCATAATAATGAAATTGTCTTCCGACAATATCACAATAAAATGCTTTCGTTTATGTTATAAACAGTATACTTATATTGGTGTATTGACCCAATTTACACCCAGGGCCAAATATTGACTCCAGAAATCAATGTGCCAGCTAGTGCATGAACTATATGTGTGTGTGTGTGTGTGTGTGTGTGTGTGTGTGTGTGTGAGAGAGAGAGAGAGAGAGAGAGAGAGATAGAGTGAGTGTGTGTGTATAATTTATTCACCCATATCGAGTCACTAGCGGATACCGTAAAACATCCTACATTACAAGGAATCCCGTCACTTTATGTAAATGTGCAATCTTAATACATACATTTTAATTAAAAGGTTGGAGATTTGGGACGCAGCATTCATTTGAAACAAAATTAAAGTGCAATTAAATAGAAAGAAAGAAGATTTCACACCATAAACAGTAGCATTCTACGTGTAAAAGATATCCCTGTAGAGACAAGCTCAGGTAGTCATAATGAATGTACCATGTGAATAAGTAAAATGTAAGAAATCAAAAATAAGAAAATGTGGGTAGTACCTCTCTCTAATTGAAGATAACACCCAATGGAACCCACCCGAGATTATCTAAAAAGAGGCTGCATGGCGGGAGTTCATACAAGACAAGAAAACGTTCGAGATTCCGGGCGAGGTAGGGCTAACCTTTTAGCTATAACAGTGAAACTCGATGAAAAAGAATTTACCGCAGACAAATAAAAAAGAAGTTATCTGCATCAGCTAGCCGCACCACATTCGCTAGTATGCAATTATTTTGGCCCCGCTCTCCTCTTAATCTGGCCAAATCTCGAATGAATTAAGCATAATTCGAGACTCTGACCTATTCCCATTGGCATCTACACAGGCATACAAATCAATAAAAACTTTATAATAAAGATAAAAGCTTACAGGGTACCTACATCTTATCAAAAAAGTACAAACAACAAACAACGGGTCCCTTTTTGTCGAATTTTGAACGATAACAATTTAACGTTAATCCCAAAATACACCGTGCTAAATGTATATATCCGATACACATATTGTGTTTATAACACGGTAGTGTTACACACTTTGTCTATGTCTTTGAATTAAATCACAAATACGGAAGAGAAACCAAAATTAGAAACAAAAATCTCGGTAGAGTAATTTATTTAAGCAATTGAAGATACACCCCTTTCAGATGACAGAAAATGGAAACCCAGTGACGACTCTAAAATTGTAAAAATTCCTTGGGCCTCATTTAAGTCATTTCACTCTTTTGATCTCTTCCACCAAAAACAGTCACTACACCTACCCTCTACCAGGGCGACTGATAGATTTTTACAGAAATTCACAGATATGTCTCTAGCTAGATAGATGGCTTCAGCCCAAAATGACCATCTATCTAGCTAGAGACATATCTGTGAATTTCTGTAAAAATCTATCAGTCGTCCTGGTAGAGGGTACACTACACCTGGGAAAATTTTAGTTGAGGCCAATCCCAGGTCCGAGCGTTATGTAACCTTCCTACCAGGAGAACATATCCATGTTCAGGGCCATTATGAAAAGTAATATAGTCCCTGCGTTTAGTTTTATCATACTTCCTATTAATCACGTATGTTACATTTAGTTCCTTTATTATTCCTATAAATTGCACACATTTAGTATAGTTATTGGGCACGCAGGACTTAAATCGATCCTCTAGAAAAGGAGGGCTTTTCAGTTAGGCCCCTATTTCACACAGACCACGAATCCCACGAATTGCCAGGAATTGACAAATTTCAGGATTCGTGAGGATTCGTGAGATTTTCAATTTTGCCAATTTTCTGGTCTAATTCGACACGCTCTACGATTCAGTTACGATACAGGTGCGATAGTGTTACGAATATTCGTGGGATTCGGTTGGAATCGCACGAATATTGTCCATAAATTCACTACGATTTTTTGGAATCGGGAGTTCGTGGCCAAAACTTTGAACAGCTCAAAATTTTTGCCACCAATTCCTGTTGGTCAAGAACTGACTACGAATAGATACGAATCTGTTAAGAACTTCACGAACTGATTACGATTCAACCACGAATCGTGAAATTTGTCAATTCATGGCCATTCGTGGGATTCGTGGTCTGTGTGAAATAGGGGCTTAAGTGAGATAGAGACCCCGGGAGATCGTCGTAACAGTCCCTGCATGCGTGCCAGCTTGTAGCCCGTCGGTGAATAAAGATCTACATGAGCTACAATTGAAGTCGTTGCTACTCACTCAAAAATAAGTAACCAACCGGGTTACATGTTGACTACAAACATCCATGCAGTTGCACGCGGCTAAGACACATCTCATTTCTAAAAGTCAGAGTCACTGACCCGTCATCAGTTTCTAGTATAGAATTGAAACGCTCAAATATCTAGGCTGCATCAGCCTTCATGAATTTTTATTCCATATCCGAAGTCAACTCAACGTTTTGCTCTTTCAGCGTTGATATCCCCCTTTGGATTTCTTGTTAATGTCGATGAAAATGCATTTTGTAAATAAAAATAGTTGAAAACCCTTACCTTGTCCACATACATGGTGCTTGTTTCTCTGTAACACAGCGTTTTCTATATAGGCTTTGTGGCATATGTATGCGCAGGCTCCAGATATATGATATTTGTAGGTCTATATATACATATCCTACTCATTTATATGCGGCATACATGCGTGTGATACTTTGAAAATGACTACAGACTTCTCAAGTGGAACGATTCAACATAAAAAAGATTTGTAAAATCGAACTTGTGTCTTTTTTCAAAATGCTTCGTGTATGTTATACTTAAGTTATTTACTTGCAAAGATAACTATTTTGTCGTTGCCAAGTATGAAGAGGGATCAGGTCAGGTCCAGTTGCATGTACGAGTACCTCGGTGTCTCTGATATCTTGATACGTTTCTACAGTAATTCAACAGCCATAAAGAGACTGGTGAAGCGCGCCTGCCAAATATGACACCGGCATGTTTTGCCACAGGTGTCATTCCCGTCACTCATGGGTCAATAGCCATTCTACGATGGCCTGTAAGCACTGTACAAGCAAGTCACTATATAAGCAACTGAAAAAAATCCAATGGTTAAAGTAGCAGACTTTTTGTTCTTGCTCATGATTTTTCTTTGATGTAAAGCTACTCATAAATACAACAGTTTCAGTCTCAACTCTACATCTTTCCTCGTGGGAAACTTTGAGTTTATGTAAAAAAAAAAAAAACAAAAAAAAAAACATTTCATTAGTTTAGTAGGTACGTGTAAAGTTTTTTCTAAGTTTGTGACAAAAGAGCTTTGAATATTTGCAGAGTTAGACACATATTTGGGCAAGAATGAATTACAGAATTATTTGAGAGAACCAAAACAGGCACGTACCACAGATCGCTCAGAATTCAACAAATGGAATGCCTAAAGATGCTGAGTTACGCCAAGGGGTCGTTACGAGCCATCGTACGATTGGTGTCTTCCACACGTTTTTAATTTGCATTACACAAACGTACCATCCAGCCATTTTAACACGGTGACACAGATCTTTGCATTGTTAACAGCATAATGGGCAAGTTAAATGACCAGTTAATTGGCCAAGCTGCCAGTTTGTTTGTATGGCATGTGCAGGCACATATTATGATACTTACAGGTGTGGCAAATGAGATAAACTTGTAATTTGTAAAAATACATTTGAGGATGATACTTTTAAAGATGTTTAATGTTTAAAGAAAAGACATGTAGATTGATTTAGTAACATTTACTATATACATTTGAGGATGATACTTTTAAAGATGTTTAATGTTTAAAGAAAAGACATGTAGATTGATTTAGTAACATTTACTAAAGAAATGTTAAATTAAAGGTTGGCTCCATTTGTTAGTGCGTTATTTTAGTTATCTAGATTTTATACAGATTATAGGAAAAAATCTGCCCTTTAATGTTTTGTTGACCTTTTGGAAAAATCTCTGCATTTTCTTAATGATAAATTACAAAGAAAGGTGTGAATTAATAGTAAAACTTTGCTCTATTATCATCCTCAGATATATTTTACAAATCACAGGTAATGAAGTACAAGTATATCTCATTTGCCACACCTGTAAGTATCATAATATGTGCCTGCACATGTCATACAAACAAACTGGCAGCTTGGCCAATTAAAGAATCTAAAGGAGATCGATCTAATCTCTGGAAATGGGGTCATAGGGTCTGGGCTTTTCATGCATAGGACTAGATTTGGTCCGGGCCTTTGACATATCCATTGTACACATGTCATTCGTCTGCTACCCGTACTGTCAAGAATAGGATTGTGACATGCGGGCAACGTTACATGAAGTCTGTGCCTCACTACGGGCACCAGAAAAAGACATTCAAATAGATTCATATTTCACAGTATGGGTTGGTGCAAATGATCTGACAATCATATTATAAAATTTTCAACATTTTTAAAAGCCTCATTTTCCTAAAATATCCTGTTGAACTGTTAGAGGAATTAAACTTTCAAATACTTAATTTTTTGGCAACACGATATATAACAGATTAATGTTCAGATTCTTTATTGATAAACACATACACATAGGCCTAAAATTAAGGTACAATCAATGTCAGTACAACTAACTATAACAGGGCACAAACAAATGAATAAATAGATGATCATGTTTATATTTATATGTTTATATTTTTTTTATATATACTAGCCCCCCATCTCCCCCCAAAAAGTTATATGGTATCTGTGAAACACGTACCCCATTCCTGTGACTCGTGAATTTCGCTTGTTATTCTCCAGTCTTCGTTAAACGAAGTCATTACACCCAGCAATTCGTAATTTTCAGGATTATCGAGGGGCATAGTCAGTGAGATGTGAATAAAGTTTTAAGTTTACTATGATCTGTGAATTGATGATTTTATTTTGCGTGAACTGTGGTCACCCCCCCCCCCCCCAACGTTAGGCCTATGTTGCGCATAATGTACGTGACTTTGCAAATATCAGAGTTATCAGTGTCAGTACTAAACAACTGACGTTCAATGTTGATCACGTTTGCAAAGCGACTGCTATTTTTATTGCAAATTGTCCGAATTGCTGCTCAGTTCCCTTTAAAATATTTATGTTGGCAGAATCAGTGGGAATCCTGGCCTCGTTTGCAGATGGAAACACCCATGGTCTAAAAATAGATGCAAATGGCGTTGGTCGGAAGTGAGCACAACACGCGGGACTAGGCAAGTGAGGTGTACCATGTACGCATATTTTTCAATAGAGCGGTGTAATTTATTAAGAAGATATTATTGCAAATGTTTAAAGGATACTGAATTCCATGCACTGACGTTCATATTACATATTTTAGTGTTATAATTCCATGCATTTTGCTTTGATTTAAGCCGGAATCACCCTGGTCAATATTTTAACAAACTCCATTCCCATAAAGCACTATATCAACAGGCGAGTTCTAACTAACATCAATTAGAGCAAAAAGTGTTACTGTGCAAGTGCAAATGTCCCGGGGAGAGGGGTGTTTTCATTGCATCAGTACCATGCAGCTATCGTCTTGTGAGTCATGGCCGTTGATATATTTTTGTTTAAGTCCACGTCAGCCTTGATGCTTGCAGGAAAACGTGTTGGTATTTAATTTGATGACCGCTTCTATGCCGATCGCAGAGTTATGAATTTGCTCCTTTAGAATCTGTTAAGAAATTGAGCAGAATGTGACGTGATCCTGTTGGCTCGTGCTCTGTGCGGTACATGTGCAATAGTCTATACTCTGCGCGTTCTTTCTGTACATGTACGTAATAAGATAAAGGACTGGCAAACACACTTAGAGTGAAAGCATTTTAAGTGTAGACTAAAACCTTAATTGTTAGTAATAGTAGGTAAGTGTAAGGACCACCTTGTGCATGTGGAACAGGTGTGAGTTACTACTTTGTTTTCTGTCTACATACAAGTGTATATGTAATTTCCTCCCCTGGTAATACTACTAGTACTTGGGTTATGTCTGACACTAAGACAGTGTTGGATATGATTTTAATAACATCTGTTACTCATTTCTTTTGTTCTCAAAATATATCTAAAGGTGTTTGCTTGTGCTCCATCTTTAAAAAACGGGACCGCCTAGAAAATTGTTTAACACTGAAGCAGCGGCAAATTACATGAAGTCTGTACCATTGTAATTACTGCATATTTTGGACCATTTATCATGCTTCATTTAAATTTTTTCTAGTTTAGTGTAGTGTTTCCACCATGTCTGCTGCCACCATCGCTGCTGTAGGTCTGGCCTTGACAGGGGTGATGATGAACTTTGCCATCCACAGGATAGAAGAAGGTGAGTATGGTGACAGGTAGATGGATGGCGTAACTTTTTAGATTGATCTGTAAGCTCATTTGTGATGGCTTAAATTGATTGCGATTGATGATATGATTTTGAATTCTAACGATATTCTGCAGAGATAATATGTACCAAGTTAAGCTACAGCCCTTAGTTGTCAGGAGTTTTTGTTATACACTGTCAAATACCTTTTAGAATGAGATATGACATCCCATGATAAATTATATATGTTCTGAACTTCTGGTAATGAATGGCACTTTTATTAAATGGGAATTATATGAATGTTCAAGTGTTATGAATTATTTGTATTTCATTTATTGCTGAAAATGGCATAAACATATTTGATGATGGTATCAATTGTCACTATTTCAGGTCACGTTGGTGTATATTACAGGGTGAGTACCATTATGTCTTGTGTGCGCATTACAGGGCGAGTGTAGGCCCCAATTTTAAAAAGGAGGTTGTTCTTCTGATAAAGTGGACTAGTAGTGGCATAGCACATAGATCAGATTTATTCAAAACAGACCTTTTCCTTGTCACAAAGATGGTTCATTTGTATATTCCCCTCAACACAGCTTACAACATTTCTGAATGAGTGCATGAGGGTACAACAGACCTACAAAGTCAATAGCAGATAACAATTATGGCTAATATTGCACCACCTTGAAGTATCAGAGTAAACGAAGGAGTGGAGCCCCGATCCCTACAACCTGCTGCCCTCTACCCTCTACCAGGGTGGCAGATTATATAGGAAAAATGGACAACAGATCAAAATGACTATTTATCTAGAGACATATCTGTGAATATCTGTAAAAAAGCAATCTGTCACTCTGGTAGAGGGTAACAACCTGTCTAGACTATGCCAGCTGTTATCCTTAGTTCATGTTTTAGTTTTTACATCTTATTTTATGTGGTCTCATCTGAGTAGTTCTGGATCCTTAGAAAACTATCTACTAGCAATTCGTCTGATACTACTGTTCTAGAATGAATTCAGCAAATCATACAGGGAAGCTAGTTCAACATTTCATTTACGAGCCATTGTTTTGAGCATGCTTTGTTTACATGTTAAAGAGATAATAACTCTTCCTATGAGAAATACATTTCACAATAATAACATTGTGAACAACTCATAGAAATATGATATATTCTGTTTTACCACAAAACAGCATTTATAGCTATTATTCTGATATCTGAGCTTGTCTTCAGACCACATGACCTCCATTGATGGCTATACTCTGTTATAATCTCTTAAGAGATTATAACAAAACAACTTTTTAGAAAAAAAACAGGCACTAACTTTGAATGTACAAATGGATTCATTAACCATTGGTAAGTATGGGAAAAGTGTTTACTCCAGGAAAATTCATTTTTTGGCCAGAACTAAGAGTTATTATCCCTTTAACAATGCTTACAAGTAAACTGCTCCTTCTTTATTAGTGAATGCTCCAATTTCAAACAATATAGTTTTTGATAAAGGAACTGCTTATTCTCATTCAATTTCTTTTGCTGAAACAAGATATAACAGTGAGATGTCTTGTTATAGATGATTTTTTCCCCAACGTAAATGGAAAAATTGTTTTTTTTTCTTGTCGTAAGGTCACAGAGTCATTTCTTCCTATATTTTTCACACAACGCAATATCATATCTGCTTGTATGAATTTCCATTTTTATTCCGTCTTTTATTTCATCTTGATAAATGGGAGTTTTGTTAGATGTATTTTGATGACTTAGACAACCCTGTATCAATTTCCATGCATATTATATCTCCAGGGTGGCGNAGAAGTGCAAGAACTGACTACGAATAGATACGAATCTGTTAAGAACTTCACGAACTGATTACGATTCAACCACGAATCGTGAAATTTGTCAATTCATGGCCATTCGTGGGATTCGTAGTCTGTGTGAAATAGGGGCTTAAGTGAGATAGAGACCCCGGGAGATCGTCGTAACAGTCCCTGCATGCGTGCCAGCTTGTAGCCCGTCGGTGAATAAAGATCTACATGAGCTACAATTGAAGTCGTTGCTACTCACTCAGAAATAAGTAACCAACCGGGTTACATGTTGACTACAAACATCCATGCAGTTGCACGCGGCTAAGACACATCCCATTTCTAAAAGTCAGAGTCACTGACCCGTCATCAGTTTCTAGTATAGAATTGAAACGATCAAATCTCTAGGCTGCATCAGCCTTCATGAATTTTTATTCCATATCCGAAGTCAACTCAACGTTTTGCTCTTTCAGCGTTGATATCCCCCTTTGGATTTCTTGTTAATGTCGATGAAAATGCATTTTGTAAATAAAAATAGTTGAAAACCCTTACCTTGTCCACATACATGGTGCTTGTTTCTCTGTGACACAGCGTTTTCTATATAGGCTTTGTGGCATATGTATGCGCAGGCTCCAGATATATGATATTTGTAGGTCTATATATACATATCCTTCCTACAATACTCATTTATATGCGGCATACATGTGTGTGATACTTTGAAAATGACTACAGACTTCTCAAGTGGAACGATTCAACATAAAAAAGATTTGTATGGCATGTGCAGGCACATATTATGATACTTACAGGTGTGGCAAATGAGATAATCTTGTAATTTGTAAAAATACATCTGAGGATGATACTTTTAAAGATGTTTAATGTTTAAAGAAAAGACATGTAGATTGATTTAGTAACATTTACTAAAGAAATGTTAAATTAAAGGTTGGCTCCATTTGTTAGTGCGTTATTTTAGTTATCTAGATTTTATACAGATTACAGGAAAAAAATTTGCCCTTTAATGTTTTGTTGACCTTTTGGAAAAATCTCTGCATTTTCTTAATGATAAATTAGAAAGAAAGGTGTGAATTAATAGCAAAACTTTGGTCTATTATCATCCTCAGATGTATTTTACAAATCACAGGTAATGAAATACAAGTATATCTCATTTGCCACACCTGTAAGTGTCATAATATGTGTCTTGATCTAAGACATCCCCTGCACATGCCATACAAACAAACTGGCAGCTTGGCCAATTAACTTGGTCACTTAACTTGCCCATTATGCTGATAACAATGCAAAGACACCATAAAGAATGGGCCCAGCCAGGGCGTAATAAACATAGGGTCTGGGCTTTTCATGCATAGAACTATAGATTTGGTCCGGGCCTTTGACATATCCATTGTACACATGTCATTCGTCTGCTACCCGTACTGTCAAGAATAGGATTGTGACATGCGGGCAACGTTACATGAAGTCTGTACATCACTACGGGCACCAGAAAAAGACATTCAAATAGTTTCATATTTCACAGTATGGGTTGGTGCAAATGATCTGACAATCATATTATAAAATTTTCAACATTTTTTAAAAGCCTCATTTTCCTAAAATATCCTGTTGAACTGTTAGAGGAATTAAACTTTCAAATAATTAATTTTTTGGCAACACGATATATAACAGATTCTTTATTGATAAACACATTCACATACAAGGTACAATCAATGTCAGTACAACTAACTATAACAGGGCACAAACAAATAAATAAATAAATAGGTGATCATGTTTATATTTATATGTTTATAATTTTTAATATATACTAGCCCCCCCACCTCCCCCCAAAAAGTTTTTTGTTATCTGTGAAGCACGAACCCCATTCCTGTGACTCGTGAATTTCACTTGTTATTCTCCAGTCTTCGTTAAACGAAGTCATTACACCCAGTAATTCGTAATTTTCAGGATTATCGAGGGGCATAGTAAGTGAGATGTGAATAAAGTTTTAAAGTTTACTATGATCTGTGAATTGATGATTTTATTTTGCGTGAACTGTGATCCCCCCCCCCCCCCCCCAACGTTAGGCCTATGTTGCGCATAATGTACGTGACTTTGCAAATGTCAGAGTTATCAGTGCCAGTACTAAACAACTGACGTTCAATGTTGGTCACGTTTGCAAAGCGACTGCTATTTTTATTGTAAACTGTCCGAACTACTGCTCAGTTCCCCTAAAAATATTTCTGTTGTCAGAATCAGTGGGAATCCTGGCCTCGTTCGCAGATGGAAACACCCATGATCTAAAAATAGATGCAAATGGCGTTGGTCGGAAGTGAGCACAACACGCGGGACTAGGCAAGTGAGGTGTACCATGTACGCATATTTTTCAATAGAGCGGTGTAATTTATTAAGAAGATATTATTGCAAATGTTTAAGAGATGCTGAATTCAATGCACTGACGTACATATTACTTATTTTAGTGTTATAATTCCATGCATTTTGCTGTGATTTAAGCCGGAATCACCCTGGTCAATATTTTAACAGTTCAAACTCCATTCCCATAAAGCACTTTATCAATACGTGAGTCCTAACTAACACCACTTAGAGCAAAAAGTGTTACTGTGCAAGTGTAAATGTCCCGGGGAGAGGGGTGTTTTCATTGCATCAATACCACGCAACTATCGTCTTGTGAGTCATGGCCGTTGATATATTTTTGTTAAAGTCCACGTCAGCCTTGATGCTTGCAGGGAAACGTGTTGATTTAATTTGATGACCGCTTCTATGATCTTCTATGCCGATCGCAGAGTTATGAATTTGCTCCTTTAGAATCTGTTAAGAAATTGAGCAGAATGTGACGTGATCCTGTTAGCTCGTGCTCTGTACGGTACATGTGCAATAGTCTACAGTATAATCTGCGCGTTCTTTCTGTACATGTACGTAATAAGATAAAGGACTGGCAAGCACACTTAAAGTAAAAGAAGCATTTTAAGTGTAGACTAAAACCTTAATTGTTAGTAATAATAGGTAAGTGTCAGGACCACCTTGTGCATGTGGAACAGGTGTGAGTTACTACTTTGTTTTCTGTCTACATACAAGTGTATATGTAATTTCCTCCCCTGGTAATACTACTAGTACTTGGGTTATGTTTGACACTAAGACAGTGTTCGATATGATTTTAATAACATCTGTTACTCATTTCTCTTGTTCACAAAATATATCTAAAGGTGTTGCTTGTGCTCCATCTTTAAAAAAACTGGACCACCTAGAAAATTGTTAAATACTGAAGCAGCGGCAAATTACATGAAGTCTGTACCATTGTAATTACTGCATATTTTGGACCATTTATCATGCTTCATTTAGATTTTTTCTAGTTTAGTGTAGTGTTTCCACCATGTCTGCTGCCACCATCGCTGCTGTAGGTCTGGCCTTGACAGGGGTGATGATGAACTTTGCCATCCACAGGATAGAGGAAGGTGAGTATAGTATGGGGACAGGTAGATGGATGGCGTAACTTTTTAGATTGATCTGTAAGCTCATTTGGGATGGCTTAAATTGATTGTGATTGATGATATGATTGTGAATTCTAACCATATTCTGCCGAGATAATATGTACCAAGTTAAGCTGTGACCTTAGTTGTCAGGAGTTTTTGTTATACACTGTCAAATACCTTTTAGAATGAGATATGACATCCCATGATAAATTATATATGTTCTGAACTTCTGGTAATGAATGGCACTTTTATTAAATGGGAATTATATGAATGTTCTAGTGTTATGAATTATTTGTATTTCATTTATTGCTGAAAATGTCATAAACATATTTGATGATGGTATCAATTGTCACCATTTCAGGTCACGTTGGTGTATATTACAGGGTGAGTAAACATTACGTCGTGTGTGCACATCACAGGGCGAGTGCAGACAGCAATTTCTCTTGATAAAGTGGACTAGTAGTGGCATAGCGCATAGATCAGATTATTACTATACTAAAGCTGCTAAACTATAATTAATTACCCCTTAGCAACTTCCGTAGGTATGACAGAAATCTAAGCTGCTTAAGTTGCGAAATTCCTCTGGGAGATAAATCGATCCCAACTTAGTACGATAAGGTCTGGGAGTGGTCCCTAACAGTAATGGCTAATATTGTGCAACTTTAAAGTATTAGAGTAAATAAAGGAGTGAAAGTAAAGGTGTGTTGCTCTGATCCCTGCAACCTGTCAGTGTCTAGACTGTGTCTGGTGTTATCAATAAATCATGTTTTACCACTGGTTCTATACTGTCTCATCAGAGTAATTCTGGATCCTCAGAAAACTCTTTACTAGGAATTCATCTGATGCTACTGCACTAGAATGAATTGAGCAAATCATACAAGTTAGTTCAGTATTTTATTTACGAGCCATTATTTTTATCATGCTTTGTCTACATGTTAACAATGCTTACAAGTATTCTGCTCCTTTTTTTTATTGTTGAATGCTCCAATTGCAAACAATATAGTCTTGATAAAGGAACTGCTTATCCTCATTCAATACTCTTCTGCTGAAACAAGATATAACAGTGAGGTGTCTTGTTATAGATGATTTTTTCCCAACTTACATGGAAAAATTGTTTTTTTTTCTTGTCTTAAGGTCACAGAGTCATTTCTTCCTATATTTTTCACACAACAAAATATCATATCTGCTTGTATGAATTTCCATTTTCATTCCGTCTTTTATTCCAATTTGATATATTGGAGTTTTGTTAGATGTATTTTGATGACTTAGACAACACTTTGTTAATTTCCGTATATATTTTATATCCAAGGTGGTGCCTTGCTGTCGGCCACCAGTGGTCCCGGGTACCACATCATGTTAATATCTGTCTATATATTATATCTCCAGGGTGGTGCCTTGCTGTCAGCCACCAGTGGTCCTGGGTACCACATCATGTTAATATCTGTCTATATATTATATCTCCAGGGTGGCGCCTTGCTGTCAGCCACCAGTGGTCCTGGGTACCACATCATGTTAATATCTGTCTATATATTATATCTCCAGGGTGGCGCCTTGCTGTCGGCCACCAGTGGTCCTGGGTACCACATCATGTTAATATCTGTCTATACATTATATCTCCAGGGTGGCGCCTTGCTGTCGGCCACCAGTGGTCCTGGGTACCACATCATGTTAATATCTGTCTATATATTATATCTCCAGGGTGGTGCCTTGCTGTCAGCCACCAGTGGTCCTGGGTACCACATCATGTTAATATCTGTCTATATATTATATCTCCAGGGTGGCGCCTTGCTGTCGGCCACCAGTGGTCCTGGGTACCACATCATGGTGCCGTTCATCACCACATTCAGAAGTGTGCAGACAACACTGCAAACTGACGAGGTGAAAAATGTGCCTTGTGGAACCAGGTATGTACTACTGAATGTTAGATTCTGTTCTAATCCATTCCATTCCATTCCATATGGACTCGATTTTTTAAAGGTGGAAAATGATAAGATCAAATTAAACATTAAATTGATCAGTAAATGTAGGGTAACAAGTTGTTTGTTCATACCAAGAAAAGTATAAATAAAATATTTGCATATAGATAGTTGCCAAGGTTGGCAATAGTTTTGAAAAGTTTTCCACAACAGGAAAAGTCTGTGCTCCAATGATCACTGATATTATTAAAGTTTTAATCTTCCTTTTCAGTGGAGGTTTCACAATTTATTTTTCTTTCCCTTCAGTGGGGGTGTCATGATTTTTTTCCCTTTCAGTGGGGCTGTCATGATTTATTTTTTCTTCCCTTTCAGTGGGGGTGTCATGATTTATTTTTTCTTCCCTTTCAGTGGGGGTGTCATGATTTATTTTGACAGAATTGAAGTTGTTAATATCTTACAACAAACTGCAGGTAAGGGACATAATTTTATATAGCAAATTTTTGATGCAATAATAACAATTGAAATTAAGATATAATTGCAGACAAAAGTAATTTTGACAAGATTGTCCTTATAAAATAATGATAGGTGTTTTATGCTGTTTTGATATTATTCATATTTTCATGTTACAATTTTTTTCTTTTGTCAGTTTCTGAAATAGTCAAAAACTACACGGCAGACTACGACAAGACGTTAATCTATAATAAAGTTCACCATGAACTCAACCAGTTTTGTAGTGTCCATACCCTTCAGGAAGTTTACATAGATTTATTTGGTGAGAATGATTTATTTATTTCTCTTATTTCTGAAAATGATTTCACATGGGTTTTCTATTTCTGAATCACAGAAATATATGCAAGTTTATATTTTTGTTCATCTTTAGATAGCCATTTGTAAAATCTTTGGATTTTGTGTATTATGATTTTAAGAAGCTCTGGGTCTGCTTGTACTAGGGCAAAAGAGAGATGTTTTCACTAGATATTAGCAGGTATTTCTCTGGCTTATTCTGTGCCCATTTCCAACTTGAATTTTTGCGTAGAAATGTGTCAGCTGACAGCTGGCATCTGATAGAGAGTAGTCCACGGCAGTCATAGGAGAATACCCTCAGCTGTGTTATGTTATCTCCTGAATAGAGGCTATGAGAGCATTCACATCAAGAAGAGCCCGAGGTCTGAGACCTAAATATGGCGGACCTACATGAAAGGATGACTGCATAGACCTTTAATAGTCTCTCAATGAATGTAAATGCTAGACCTCGGCTCTTCTCGATGTGAATGCTCTCTATATTCACCTGGATAGCCTCATTCACTGATGAAGATGCTCTAACAAAAAAAGAAATATTGGAGGCAAACAATTTCATAATTAGCTGATTGAAGAAAAAATGACTATTTTAGTCTGTGACATTGTTTTCTTAAATCATTGCAGACCAAATTGATGAGAATTTGAAAGTGGCTCTGCAGGCGGACCTCAATGTCATGGCGCCAGGGCTGAAGGTGCAGGCAGTCAGGGTGACGAAGCCAAAAATCCCAGAACAGATTCGGAAGAACTACGAAAGCATGTGAGTTACAATCTAAAACCAAGGGCAAAATTATGATGCACTACTTTCTTTGATATTTTGTGGAATTTTTTATCCTTGTTGTAGCTTCAAAATCTATTATGTACAATGATACAAATTAATAAGATTTTTAATGTCAGGCTGGCAAGTGGGAGTATCTGTTCTTGAATATCTAATATCAAAACTTGTGATTTCTTGCTGTAGTTTTTGTATCTTGATGAACACTGACTTCACACTATTCCAGGGAGGGTGAAAAAACAAAACTCTTAATTGCCAAGGAGAAGCAGAAAGTTATAGAAAAAGAAGCAGAGACAGAGAGACTAAAAGCTGTGATTGGTTAGTGGAATATTTAGTATCTGGAAAAGTTTGAAGCTGTAATCATTGAATAAAATTATTGCCCAGACTTACAGCCAGTAGAGACATGCCTATGGCCAGCAATTTAATAGTTTTTTTTTTCTGGAAAAAGTGGGTCTATTGCCCCCCCCCCTTGATAACTTTAAAAAAATAGCATAAAACCTAGATGGAATATTGATTCAGAGTGGACCTTTTTTTTTTACCAAAAGTGTGGTTCTTTCAACCCCTGAACCTCTCCCTGCTTACAGGCCTGAAGAAAGAATGTCTGTGTTTTTTTCATTGTTTTGATCAATTAAATGATAGTTGTTTGACGCAGACTGGTTCTTGCAAAATTCTATGCAGAATTGAAAATTCTGATGCTTGGGGAAGTAATTATTTGATGAAATCAGGTGTTAAAACTCACCTCAAGTGTTGTCTGTTAAAGCTGTATCCAGAAGGAATGTCTCAACTGGAATGTTGATCTGTTAAGAATGTTATAATATTTAAGCCAGAGACATTTATTCTTTAACTTTACATAAAGTTAACAATATTCTGTTCAATTAAATATTCTGGTATCAGGACAATTCCCCCCCGGACAATTCCCCCCGGACTATTCCCCCCGGACAATTCCCCCCCAGGACAATTCCCCCCCGGACGATTCCCCCCC